TCTAATATCCGTCTCATGTCCGGCATATTCGTTGATTTTCCGTCCAAAAATATTAAAGTCAACTATTTGTCCAAATATGTCAGAAAATTATGCAGCTATCAACACTCAAAACCGTCATTTATCAATTATCATGTAGTTTTACCAGCCGAAAAGTGTTTATTATATTGAGAGCTTAACAAGCTTTCCATTCGCCAATCAATGCTACGCACGATTACTTGATAAAAATGCTTAAGCGTGGTAGGCCATCGTCCAATGTTGTCCAGACTACTATACCTTTGTGCAATCAATTCCGAATTGGACATTATAAAGAATCGGAACTCCGAATGTCCAGGTTCCGATTGGCACCACTATAACAGATGAAGAGTTTTGGGAGAGTTTTTATCGAACGGAGATGATAGACGTTCTGTTAATTGAAGAGAGGCGAATTCTGTCAACCGACCGGTGTGCAGCGTGCAGATTTTGATACTCTGCAACTGTTATTTTTGTTGTTGTGTTGATTTTTCAAATGAAGGTATGTTTAGAATTGCTCTGCCTATTCGTTTATGGGTCAAACAACATCGGTGCTGGCGAGACTATCGTTTTTATGGCAGGTAAAGGCAGTATGTTCAAATTACCCCACGGTTGGGCAATTTGAACACACCGTGACTTGGTGGAGAAGTGATGCTATGCTATTCAAGGTATGCTCGGCTCGTCAAAAAATGAGGCTTGCATGGTGAAAGCAAGTGACACATGCGCTACTGAAACAGTTTTTCTTCATCCAGGGTTGAGCTGGAATTTGGTACAACGGAGAAAACGTAAAAATATGTTCAAATTACCCCACACTACCCTACCCAAGCCCGGGTGCGGATCTTAGCCAACTTCGCTCATTTTTCCCCTCTTATCCGGGCGCATAGAACCGTAATTGTTACGGCGTCACGGAAGAGTGCATTTGATAGAGCCTTGGAAGCTCCCGCTGCGTAGTCCTTAGATTCGAGCTCAGTTCAACAATTTGGCCCACAGAGAGCAAAAACCGCAAAAATAGACGGATTTCGCAGAAGCATTTGTTCCATTTTTATGCATACCTACCTACTAAATCCACGTATGGTAGGCACAGTTTTTACCGCCATTGTGTCTCTCTTATCGAGAGGCGTTAAATTATCTATAGTTTTACCTAAATTCAGTTGCATGCTCTAACCGAAAAAGGTCATGCTGTACATAGACTGATCTGTGTTGTTGAACTGAAGGCATTACATAATACCTATGCCTTCATCAATCTACTATGTCTTCTTCTAACGTTATTGTCGAATCTTCTGGTGACTTTGGTGACCTTTCTGGTGACTACAGGCTCCTGCACAGACCGGTAGGGGCCATGCTGGTCACTGAGAGGTCACGCTGGTCATAGGTCGGTCTCTAAGAGCTCCATATCGTCGACCTCTGAGGACCCCACCCACACAGGCTTCGGAGGCTCCACATCGGCCCCCGTAGATCCTATCTCCGGTCTTAGATCCTTGAGGGCTCAAGATGGTCCCCGAGAGCCCCACGTCAGCCTCAAAGAGCCGATATCGATCTCCTAGAGCCTTGCGCTGGTTGAGGGCTGATACCCAAGTTTTAGGAGGGTCCAACTCGGGTTATGAATTCCTCTGAGCTAGCCTCTGATGGCTCCATGTCGCCCTCCGGGTCCTCAGTCCATAGGCGGCGGAACGATTTGAGACAAGGGGGGGCACCAGCTCAAGGGGCCAAACCTAGGGTACCCCCAAATCCTGTTTTCTCATCGGATTTAGGCCACTTATTTTTCGTCACAGCCCTGACACGATGATTTTTTATTTTTTTTTCTATTTTTTTTTACTAAACGAAAATGGCAGAACACCCCCATATGTGTGGTTAACTTTAAGCTGATCCTCAAGTACCTATGTGTTTGTCTCTTCCTTATTCTCGTTTGATAAATTCCATTAACCCTCGCCCGACGAGGGGGGTTGATGCAACCCCCCTAAAGTTTTTCGCAAATAACGTAAAAACGGCGGCGTGTAGCGCCGCCAAATTTGGCATACCCTCTGGGGCAACATTTTCGCACCTTTCCTGAAAATTTGAAGTCCCAGTCTTTTCAGGTCAGGTCACCAGGTCAGAAAAACCGGTACAAGGTCAGGGGAAAATTGGACTAGCTTAGCGGCAACTGAATTCCAAAGTTCACTAAAATTGGTAACAAAGTATACCATTCGATGCGCTCTGACGTCCTGAGTTCACAGGTGCTTTTATTTTTGCTCTTTCTTTGCTAGGTAAAAAGTTATAAGCGAAAAACTTTTAACATGTTTAAGCAAAATTTTTTGCATTCATACCCCCAAACAGTGGCGTATCTAGGATTTCTCTCAGGGGGGATCCGCAGTCAAAAGGGCCCTTGCCTGACTGGGTTGAAAGGGCCCTTAAGTGGCAAAAGGGCCCTTGTAGCCTGAGTTGAAAGGGCGTTAACCCGCGCCCCGTAGGGAGGGGGGGGAGGCAAAACGGCCCCTGTCCTCTTCCGTAGCTATCTCCTAAATGACTGCAAATATCGCCACCAAACTTTCAGGAGCTCTCTGGGCATCCATTTTACACATTGTGACCAATTTTTTTCCAGAGGCTATGATAGGTTGGCCGCAAATGACGTCAGAATGACGTCATGTTCTGCCATTTTCGACAAAAAAAGGTTTCGCAGGAAAAGCCACAGGCCTACAGAGCTGTAGAAACATAAAAATGTTCCGACTTAAAATGTGTAGAATTAACAGGCCTAGGTCAAATCTGAGCACAGTTTACAGAAAGAGCATTAAAAGAGCTTCGATTGTTTTGTTGGGTTGGGCCCAGGCCCTTTCGGTCTGACGTGTCCATCAGCGTGCTGTCGATTTTCCCCATATAAGGAAGTTATTGCTGGCGCTTCTTGGCCTCTCATTGGTCTAACGAATAGACCACTTGAATTCGACCAATGAGGAGCCAAGAAGTAGCAGCATGCTCACAGCGTGCTGATAAATAAACGGGGTGCGAACAGAGCTCAGGGCCGGAAGGATGATAGGAAAGGAATTGAGGGAGACATTGGTCTGGGCGGGCACCTTGGTGAGTCACCGCCCACCGGGGCTGAGCCTGTCCAACAGGACAGGCCGACTAGCCCCCCAAGTGCTCACTGCACCCGGTTACGAGCGTGCTTGATTAGGAGCTGCAGTGCGCTCCAATGGGAGCCGCCCGCATGGAATAAAGTTGCCCGTCCAGGTCCAGCCCGGATCAGGGGTTGCGGCATGGAGGAGAAGGATTTGAATGTCATGAGGATGGAAACGGCGAAACGGGTGTTGAAAGAGCTATTAACTACGCTTTTCCCCGGCACTGTAGCTCCTCATTTCCGAGTCATGCGATGGTTTGTTGAAAATTGTCGAAATTGGATCTGAAAATTGGCGAAATTTGACCTTGGATGACCTATGTGAACTGACCTTTGACCTGATCTAAAAAGTGACCAGAGTAATTTCGTCATTATTGTTTGCGTCCCTTCAAACGCTGCCTTTGGCGTGTCGTGGCTCAGAAGCCGAGTTAGAAGCAGGGGTGCGGAGCTGGAGCTGCAGAGCCGCCGGAGCCGGCATATTTTGCCCGGAGCCGGAGCCGTGAAAGAATATAGCCCGGAGCCGGAGCCAGAGCCGGAGCATTAAAAAAAGGCGGCGACTCCGGCTGCTTTTTTTAACCCTCGCCCCGTTGGGGGGGGGGGGGCATTTTGCCCCCCCCTGTGGTTTTTCCTGAAAAATTTTCAGTACCTTCCCGGGCATCAATTTGACACCTTCACATCAAATGTCAAGTCTTAGGTCACCTTAGGTCAGGAGTTATTGAGGTCAAACTGAGGTCATGTTCGAGCAAAAATGAGCAAAAAACATGCAATCTTGAAACGTTTACCAAATCTACAGTTATCAAGCAATTTCAAAGTTCTTTATATGGTCTAGTAGACAAAAAGCGGCGCTACAAAACATCTTTCTCGGATTTTCTAAATTTTGGGTTTTTGACCAAAAAAAATCAAAAATTTGATTTTTTTTAGAAAAACTAAAAAAAAAAAATCCAAAATGTTTCCGAATTTCAAAAAAGCCGGAATATATGTGATAGTCCCTGCGCTCTTCTATGTACATACCAAATTTCAGATCGATATCTCGTTTTTTTGGCCAAGTTATAGAGAAAACACTGTTAAAAAATTATGACGTCAAAATTTTGAACTCAATTTTTAGCGATTCTAGACCACGTACGGCAAAACAAAGACCACCATTGAACTCCCCGTGACGAGCTGCATCGATTCGATACCCATTATATGCAAAAATATTTACTTTGAAATTTGACCTAATTTGACCTGACCTTGACCTGACCTTGACCTGACCTTGACCAAAACGTGACCTAAGCTGGCCCCAAAGGCTGCCTGACCCACATAATCGCATTTGTCATGTAAAATAGACCATAAAACATGCATCACACGACACTTTCATATTGTGACCCCCCAGTGACCTGACCTCTGTGACTTGACCTGGTATCAGTGACCTCAAATAGTAAAATATGTGTTTGAAGAACATTTCCCCATCGATGATTTTCAATGAAATGCATTTTACTCGATTTTACAACGCATTTCTTGAAATGCCTGTAAACGATGAAAATTGGACCTTTGACCTGACCTGTGACGTCATCAGTTTGACCTAGGTCAATAAAATTGGGTCACAAGGTAGTTCCCTGATAGGGCTATCCAACACCGTTTGCCGCTTGTCGCTAGGTTGCGTGGTTCTCGAGATCTTAGGGTGGGGGCCAAAATGCCCCCACCCCCCCAACAGGGCGCGTTGCTCGGCAGAGCCCAACGGGGCGCGGGTTAAGAGGAAAAATTATTGACCTAGTTCGGTTTGACAGTACAAGGCAGTAAAACATGTGGTATTCAAAATAGCCTTGCTATGCCTGTAATGGGCTCCTGATAGCCCATTAAAGGCTTAGCAGATCGCTTTGTGCTATAACATTGAGCTTTAAACAAAATAAGCATGCTTATGTAAGAGTCTGAAGGAATTTTAGTAGCAGTAAAAGAAAGTCGGATGTGGCAATATGGTATGGCAGCGCGACAGAACTGGCGCGGTGATTCGTGTGACGTGTGCGTCCAGAACGTTCGTTGTTGTTGTTTTGTTGGGTGTGGTACCGTGGAACTGAAATGTGGATTTGAGGTATGGATGAAGAGTGGGCTCGATATTCGTGCGTTTAATACAAGATTGAAGAAGAGAACGTTTCATCAGCGGTGGGATAAGATTCAAGCCTCAACATGGATGGAATGAAAAAGGAGTCGAAAACTGGAGGTGGAAATGACGCCGCTTCTGCCGCAGTCGCCATGGTGGGTGGATACGGGTCGGGCCTGATGTTGGCCCCGCCGGTTTTTACCAAAGACAGTGACCCGACCACCTTTTTCAGCGCCTATCGGAGAACAGCTCGGGCCAATGGGTGGCCTCTGGAGCGGCAGTTGGACTTGCTGCCTGCGCTGTTTGCCGGGGAAGTTTCGTGGGTTGCTGACGACCTGGATCGGCAACGACCAACCTCCCTGGAAGAAGCAGAAGTAAGGGTGAGGGCGCTTGTGTGGCCTCGTGAACGTCAGCAAGTCAGTCTGCACCGCTTTTACGAAGCCAAAATGAAGAAAACCGACGAGCCCAGGACTTTTGTGACACAACTCCGGAGCCTGCTCAAGGGAGGCATGCCAGACATACCAGACGACTCTAGAGAGAGAATGATCATGGAACATCTGCCAAGGGCGGTGCCCAGTGAATGGCAGCTGAAGTTGCTAGATTCGGATGCCACCACAGTGGAGGCCTACGTGAGGAGGCTGGAGCGTCTGAAGACCTCAGAGCAGCTGGCAAGGGAGATGCAGGAGGAGCAAACCAGGAGTGCAGTGCCTGTGAGGTCAGTTGCTGAGCCGAGGAGGAGCAATAGTCGGGGTGGACTGTGCTTCAGGTGTGGAAGGAGGGGCCACTTTGCAGCCGCCTGCAGGGGGCCACCTCTCTCTGCGCCAGTTAGTGAATCGAGGCAGGGAGCAGGACCAAGTGAGCCAAGGCAGGGAGCAGGATCAGCATCGTGCTTCTTTTGTGGACAGTCTGGGCATCTTGTCGCCAACTGTCCGCAGAAGGGTCAGCCTGCTCAGCGTCAGCCCGTGAAGTGCTTCAGGTGTGGAGGCCTTGGACATTTTAGCAGACAATGCCCAAGTGATGCTGGAGCCAACAGACAGGGTGGGTCACGGCGAACAGATGTGAGGAGAGTCACCCACTCCAGAGTGTCTGAGCTGAGATGTATCGTGGAAGCTGAGGGTAAGACAGTGGCAGCAGTTGTGGACACGGGCAGTACTGTCAGCTTGATCAGGGCTGCTCTTGTGTCGGACCTCTGTCTGGAGTTGAGTGTGGAAACAGCCCCTGGCTTAGTAGCAGCTAATGGTACTGAGGTGGAGGTGCTGGGAACTGTTGTAGTGAAGCTGAGTCTGGCAGGGAAGGAGAACGAGCACGAGCTGTATGTGGTGGAAGACCTCACCGATTCTCTTCTGCTTGGCCTTGATGCTCCCAAGAAGTGGAAGGTGACTATTGACTGTGGGTCAGGCCGACTCGCGGTTGATGGAAGAGAACTGGACTGCTCAGAGACACCTGTGGTGACGAGAGGCGAGATCTGTTGCCCATCCAGGAGTGAGTCGTTCATCTGCATCCGACGCATCAGCTGCAACAGTACTATGGTGTTCAGCCCTGCTGATGTCAGCGGTGTGAAGGTGGCACCAGGTCTACATCATCGGCACCAGGGGGTTCCTGTTCGTCTACTGAACCTGGGAGACGAGGAGGTCAGACTTCCATCTGGCACGATGCTGGGTGTTGTTGAGGAGTTAGCAGTGGAAGGTGATGTCGTGACGGTGAGAGCTTTGCAGACGAAGTCTGCACCAGGAGCGGCTGCGCCAGGAGGAGCCGGCGCGCCAGCTACACCAGGAGCATGGACACCAACTGTACCAGATGCATGCACACCATGTGCACCAGCTGTGCCAGGAGTGGGGACGCCTTCCGCATCAGGAGAAGCGGAAGCACCTAGAAGTGTACCAGAGACAGCAGTGCCAGAAGGCGCAGGAGCGACAGTCCCAGAAGCAAGAGTGATGGTGACATCTGGAGACACCAGAGCTGGTCAGCCCAGTGTGGACCATCTCCAACCAAACTACCAAGAGAAGTTCCGAGCACTACTCCAAGAATACCAGGAGGTATTCTCTACTGCTGAAGACGACATCGGCAAGTACACTGGTGACCATGTGATGATCATTGAAACAGGAGATGCTGAGCCCGTTCGACAGAGGGCGTATCGGACGCCACTTCACCTCCGGGATCAACTTCAAGAGAAGCTGAAGACACTGGAGAAGCAAGGACTCATCGAGCAGTCAACATCACCGTGGGCATCACCTGTTGTGCTCGTTAAAAAGCGTAACAGCCAGCAATTGCGGTTCTGCTGCGACTACCGGGCCGTCAACGAGAAAGTAAAGCATGACGCTTTCCCACTTCCGAGAGTGGAGGACCTTATTCAGGCGACAGGAGGTGCTCGGTACTTTTCAGTTCTAGACCAAAGGGCAGCCTATTGGGCCATTCCTCTGGAAGAGAAGTCGAAGGAGGTGACAGCGTTCGTCACTGAGTACGGGCTGCATCAGTGGACCAGGATGCCGTTCGGCATGAAGACCAGCCCAGGATCATTCCAGAGGATTATGGAAGATGTGCTGCAGGGGCTAAACTGGAAACAAGCGCTGGTGTACCTGGACGACGTGGTGATCTTTACGAAGACACTGGACGAACACCTGGAGTTGTTGGCTGAGCTGCTCGAGAGGTTCCGCGTCAATGGACTGAAGCTCAACCCCAGCAAGTGCACCATCGCGGTGACCAGCGTGCACTTTCTTGGCCATCAGCTGGATGAAGAAGGGATCAAGCCGTCGTTGGAGAAGGTGGAGGCCATCCAGGCCTGGCCTGCCCCAAGAGACGTCCACGAGTTGCGTAAGTTCCTCGGATTCTGTGGCTATTATCAGCAGTACGTGCCTCACTTCGCTGAGAAGTCTGCGCCTATGACAGACCTGCTGAAGAAGGGAGTGAAGTTCCAGTGGACGAAGAGGTGTGAAGACGGATTCCAGCAGCTCAAAAAAGACCTTGAGAAGTATCCAGTCCTGAAGTTCCCCAGGGTGGAAGAGAGGTTCACACTCACAACGGACGCAAGCGGAACAGGGTGGGGAGCGGAGCTTCGACAGGAGTCCGGCGTGGTAGCATTCGCGTCAGGAAAATGGAATGCTGCTGAAGCCAACCGAAGTGTGACGGAGCGGGAGCTGACTGCTGTGGTGAAGGCGGTGATCAAGTACCGCCACTACCTGATCGGTCAGAAGTTCACCCTGCGAACGGATCATGAGGCGATCCGTTTTCTCCAGAAGGCGAAGCAGCCGGGAGGTCGTCTGTTTCGCTGGCTCACCCTCCTACAAGAGTACGAGTTCGACGTGGAACATGTGCCTGGCAAGTCCATCCCGCACGTGGACGCGCTCTCTCGTTGCCTGGTAAGAGCAGTGCAACAGGAAGCTACAGACATCGAAACTGAAGAGGAAGTAGACGAAGACGGTCGTCAAGAGGACGGGAGACAGGAACAAGATGAGGAAAAAGATGACGTTCGGTCTGACGACCAAATGGACCAGGATGATGAAGGAGAGGATGCATATCAGGATCAGCAGTTGAAGGATATGGCGGTGGAGTCGGCAAGGGATCCAGTGCTCCGCCAGCTGGTCCATCATCTGAAAGGATAAGAGGTTACAGCTGAGCATCTGACGACTGAGCAGCAAACTGAGCTGGCATTCTACCAGAGACTGGAAGGACTTCATGTTCGAGATGGCCGAGTCCAGCGCAGGTCACCTGGACACCAGAGGGCGCAGCAGTTGGTTCCTGTGTCGATGAGAGGGCTGGCGGTGCAGCTGGCTCATGCTCCGCCATTGTCAGGACATGGAGGAGTGAAGAGGACCCTGCATCGTCTGACAGCTCGGTACTTCTGGTACAACATGAAGAAGGACGTGCGTCGAGCCTGCGGCAGCTGCAGTTCCTGTCTTGAAGTTAAGCCGAGGAACGTCGCAAGCTCAGAGGGACGTGGCACGGTGCCAGTCTTCGGTGAGCCACTGGCTCACTGGTCAGCTGATGTCCTGGAGCTGCCAGAGTCCGAGAATGGATTCCGGTATGTACTGGTCGTGACCGATCAGTTCACTAAGTGGGTAGAAGCCTTCCCGCTAAGAAGACAGACTGCAGAAGACGTGGCTCAGTGTCTGGTACAAGTGATGTGTCGTTTCGGACTAATGAAATCCCTCCTCACAGACCAAGGACGTAACTTTGAGAGCTCGCTGGTGAAGAAAATGTGCCAACTGATGGGCATCAAGAAGTTACGCACAACAATCTACCATCCCTGCTGTAACGGATTGGTTGAACGCGTGAACCGGTCGCTGATCGAGATGCTCGCTCACTACGTTGAAGCAGGACAGCGTGACTGGGACCGATGGCTCGCCCTGGTGACTACGGCCTACAACTCAGGCTGCCACAGCACGACTGGCGTGTCTCCGTGGGAGTTGGTCTACGGGACGCCGGCTCGATCTCTGGTGGAAAACGAGCTGGGAGAAGAACAGGAGCTGAGAGGCCGGTCGTATCAGCAGTTCCTGACTCGTCTGCGACAGAGTCTGTCTCTGACCCGAGAGCAAGCTCTGGAGCGGATCAAGCGAGACCAAGAGAAGCGGACAGAAGACGGTCATTCTGGATTTCAAGTGGGAGATCTGGTATACTGCCGCAACTTTACCGCAGGAAAGGGCGTGATGGCAAAGCTACGTCCCAAGTTTGAGGGACCCTACCGCATCAGCGAGGTTCACCCACCTGACTACATCATCAAAAAGGGTAGGAAGAAACGTGTAGTTCACGGCAGCCATCTTAAGAAAGCTGGCCTACTGGTAGCGGATCATCAGGTGATGGAAGAGAGTCCAGACGATGCGGAAGAAGAGGGAGGGGAACGTCCCGAACGCATCGAGCCGATGTCGACAGTGGAGCGGCCGCCGGGAGTAGTGTTCCTGACTACGGGTCCGGCACCGTCGTGGCAGCAGAGTCCAGTGACTCTGCCATCACCGGGGGCTGTGGAGTCGCCTTCGGTCAGGTTGCAGCCGCCGCCGGGGGCGGCTGAACTGGGGCTGCCTGGAGCGGCTGGGTCTCAGCCGCCAGGAGCGACTGAGCTGGAGCTGTCGGGGGCGGACGGCTCGCGACCGCCAGGAGCGACTGAGCTGGAGCTGTCGGGGGCGGACGGCTCGCGACCGCCAGGAGCGACTGAGCTGGAGTCAACGGGAACGGGAGCAGCCGGATCGGAGCCGCCGGGGGCGGCTCAGCTGGCGTCACAGAGGGATCAGCTGGTGCAGGCTGGAGCTGAGTCGGAGTCGTCGCGGGTGGCGGATTCGATGTGTCCGCGGGTAGCTGATGCAGTGCTGTCGCAGTCAGCTGGTGCAGCACCGTCGCAGTCGGCAGGTGCAGTGTCGCGTTCGGTTAGTGCTGACCGGTCGCGAGGGGGCGGGGCTGGTCCGTCGAGACCAGATGGTGAAGTGTTACGGTCAGCTGAGTCGTGTGTGTCAGCAGCACCGTCGAGTGCAGCTGAGGGAGTGAGGCCGCGCGTGGCCGATGGGGTGCGCCGCGAGCCTAGTTCGGTGCCGCTAAACGGAGTGGAGGCGCCCTCGCAGCGTGAGGGACTCGCACAGGTGGTGACGGCGTCAGAGTTGACTCGTGGACGACCAAGGCGCAGGGGTAAGCTGCCTGGTCGCTTTAAGGACTTTGTTATGGAGTGAAGAGTTGTTCTCAGTTCGTTTGGTTGTCTAGCCAGCGGTGAAGGCTCTAATGATCTGATTGAGTCAGTTTTTGTTTGACAGGTCCTTGATGTCTCTTCGAAGGTCTGTTTTCGTTCGACGCCTGTCTAATGTGTTTCGTACGTTTTCCGCTGCCTAGTCGATTCATGCTTGATCAATAAGTCTACTTTAGGAGAGGGGAATGTAAGAGTCTGAAGGAATTTTAGTAGCAGTAAAAGAAAGTCGGATGTGGCAATATGGTATGGCAGCGCGACAGAACTGGCGCGGTGATTCGTGTGACGTGTGCGTCCAGAACGTTCGTTGTTGTTGTTTTGTTGGGTGTGGTACCGTGGAACTGAAATGTGGATTTGAGGTATGGATGAAGAGTGGGCTCGATATTCGTGCGTTTAATACAAGATTGAAGAAGAGAACGTTTCACTTATTTCATAGCCTGCCCTCAGAGGGCCCTTCTGGTGGTCTTAAAGGACCCTCAGGCCTCAATCGACCTCAGATGGACCTTTGCTGGCGTCATAAGGTCTCCGTTAGCCTGAAAGGGTCCTCCAATAGTCCCAAGGGGCCTTCTATTCTCCTTAAAGGCCCTGAGTCAGCCTAAGAGGGCCATTCAGTGGCCTCCGAGGGCACTCTTTGTCCTCAGAGGGCCTCTCATACGGCTCAAGGACCAAGGTGGTCTGAGATAGCCTTCATTTCACTTCTGAGGGCCCTCCAATGTCCTCAGAGGGCCCTATATTTGCATCATTACCCTCTTTGAGTCCTCGGAGAGCCCTCTTTAAGATGGCTGAGAGGGCCCTCTTTGATCTGAGATGGCCTGATGACCTTGTAGGGCTCATGTGGTGGCCTGAAATCACCTCAGCAGGCCCTCCAGTGGCCTCAAAGGGTCCTGTTTTTGCATTAGAGGGCTCTCTGTGGCTTCCGAGGGCCCTTTTTGATCTCAGAGGGCCCTCTTTGATCTCAGAGGGCTTTTTTTGACCCTTTCGAGCTGTCTGAGGGGGCCCTCTGGCCTCTGTTTGCCTAAAAGGGCCCTCTATTCGCCTCAGAGGGCCCTCTGTTCGACTCCGAGGGCCCTCTGGTGACCTCAGCGGACCCTATTTTTGCATCAGAGGTCCCTCTGTGGCCTCCGAGAACCCTCTTCGATCTCAGAGGGCCCTCTTTGAGGTGGCTGAGAGGGCCCTCTGTTCGCCTCAGAGGGCCCTCTGGTGACCTCAGGGGCTCTATTGTTGCATGAAAGAGCCCTCTGTGGCCACCGAGGGCCCTTTTTGATCTCAGAGG